GTTTCAATCATGTGTATGGTGATCTTTACATTTATTTGATAAAATGACAAATATTTTGGATGCAGTTGTTGCTATCCTTGCATTGGATCCAGGCTGGAAAATCTGGCACAAAGCAAAAACAATGCAGATTTCAGGAAAAATCAAATGAGATCAAATGATCAAAAACATCAAAACCTGTTTTTTATTTCCTTTCTAGGGTGGTTTGAGACAAGTCGTGGGTCTTCTTGGAATCCCAATCCATGTGGCAAGACGCAAAAATCAAGCAGTGGCATCATGGCATCATCCTTCCCGTAGAAGCGCAACGCGCTAGCTGCGGTCCACTCGTTCAAAAGACCAGTAACGAAGTCTGTGGTGAGGGTGCTTTCGCCTTGATTTCTGATCACCATTGCGAAAAGCATTCTCCCATGAACCCTGTGATTTTGCTGACGATTTCGCTGACGACGAGAAACGAGCTCGGCCTCAGCTATATGGATCGCATTGCTGGATGTATTTTGTTCTAGGTATATTATTGAGATCCAGGAGCTCTACATTCTGGACATTCTGGAGCTTTATGAGGCGTGGCAGGTGTGGACTGGTGATTCGATGCGGCCACAGGAAAGTGGACACGGCCTGGAGATCGACCAACGGCAGGTCGGTTTTTAAAGCTGGGCAGCTGCAGATTCAAAACTTCAAGTACCATTTAATAACTAGTACCATTCATTAAGATTCATTAAGTCTATTAAGTTAATGCATATGGAAACAAGGCAACCGGTTGACTCGGCGCCCTTGTAAGGGTGACGAATGAGAAATTCTGATTTCTGAGGTAAGAGACAAAATGCTGGTATTTGCAGGAGTCGTCAAAAAATGTTTGCAACATGGACATTCATATCGATTGGTAGGCGTGTGGCTCAAGAGTGAAAATTTGCGCTTCGCCTGTGCGGTGACTCGATTTTGCTCTTCAAGGGTCAAAATAGAAATCTATGATTCTCAATCATCCGAATCATATCAGGGCGGCATTCACTCTTCCAGTTGTTTCCTCTTCTCAACGCTAGCGGTGCCAGAGCGCTTGTGGCAAAGCAGAAGCCACGGTCTGCAAGCAGGCAGCGTTGTGACACCATGTCCAGCTGTAGGCCCAAGTGTACCTTTTTTGTACACTTTTTTTTTTGGTGGAACATCGACGGAGGTCGCCATTTTTTCAGGTGTTTCCATGTTCCATCCATTTGCTGAGTACCAGCAACAATGGCTCTATAAGATTTACCCCGCAAACGACCTCGAAAATGATAAGTCTTAGAAAAGATATTTTGTTGGTGGTTGATTTGGACCATCTTGAACCTTTTGTGGGATAATCTTTGGCACAACTGGCTGCAAAACCTCTGGCTCCATCTGCAGTGAGAACGCTAGAGCTGGGAACCCACCGCAAGAGATCCGTACCCATCACCTCAGCGCGTGATTCCTGCGGAGGACGTGCTTCCCCCCCTGATGATCATACGGCAGCATGTGCAACGTGTGCATCTTCCGTAACGTAAAGGAAGTGCTCGTCAAGAACGTTTATACACCCCCCCACCCCCCACCCCCCTGATGATCATACGACAGCATGTGCAACATGTTTAAAAGATCAAAAAAATCAAATCCTATACCCCCATTTGCGCAAGCCTCATTTTTGAATTTTGCAACCTTTCCAAGGGATCGTAAATGGCACATCTCAAAATTGGCAACCCTTCCAAGGGCGCCGTATCAGCCGCATGCCAAAAAAAGATTCATTAAGTCTATTAAGTTAATGCATATGGAAACAACTATTTATGTTTCCCAAAAAAACCTGGTTGATATGCAAGTATATTACTATCACGGGTGCAAACCACTGAGTACTATTGAGTCAATGATCATCCAAAAACCAGTCGAGGAAAGTAGTTCTAGAAAAACTATACGAATCGGAGAAAAAACAATCCATTCATCAGCTATAACTTAGGGTAGCCAGGTTACCAGGGTTTTGACCCATCACCACATATCAATAGTGTTTTGAGAAATCGCCATCCAAACCCCGTAAAATCCGGTTGTAAACCACCATGAAATCACCAGTTATAGCCCTTAACAGTGATATATAATCGTAGTTATAGGAGCTATTTCATCTCATTTGCAACTGTTCAGGGCCAGAAACCAATTAAATCACCAGCAAAATCCTTTTGAATTTCCACGAAATCACCAATTGAATCACCATCAAATTGCCATTTAATCAGTATTCAATCCCAACAAACCACTGTTAAATCACCATGAAACCCATTCCATCACCATTAAATCACAATTTATATAATCATTATCAAATCACCCTTAAATCATTCTCCCATATGCTCCATGTATCCTTAAGATTTATCAACACCCCAACTTCACGCAGTTTTGTAGGTAAATATACTACTGGTTGGTGGTTTGGAACAAAAAAAATGTTTTTCCATATATTGGGAATTTCATCATCCCAACTGACGAAATCATATTTTTCAGAGGGGTAGGTATACCAACAACCAGCTAATCAATGGATTTAAATGTTATAATACCATAAGTATACCACTAATCACACTAATCAGTGGGTTACATGGAGTATCATCGGTTATATAACTGCCATTAACTAACATTATGATGATATATAAATCACCAGTCTGATGAACATAAATATATCCATTAACATTAAAATGCCATAACTAACATTTAATGAACTAACATTAGTTATATGACCTGACATAGTGGGATGATGAACACAATGACTTTCAAACATCATGGGATAACTAACAGTAGTGAACATATGCCATAACTAACATTATTCCATTAATTAACATTATCCCAGGTAAGCATTATTTCCATTATATCCATTAATTAACATATGCTACTAACATTATCCATCAATAATTAACATAAATATTTCCTCTGCATGGAGCATTTGGGTAATCACCATCCAGGTGAGTAGCCCCGCCACCGTGGAGGGCCTCGGAAGCGCTGGAAGCTTTGCACCTTGGACGGAGGGGTGCTAATGTCGGCGGCTAAAAGCTTGCAATGGTGGCAAAAAGATAAGGGAAATGGTGGTTTAAGATGGTTTGATCTGGTTTAATATGGTTTTATGGTGATATTGGATTGTTCTTTTCGGGATTGCATGGGATGTTTCTTGGGATTCGATACGGATTTAATTTGAGTTTAAGACGAAAATGGACCTGACATAGGACTAATGGATACTAACATTTAATAACATATATACATATATACATATATATACAGTATTATATTGTAGATGCATGGATACATATATATATATGTGAGTTCAGATTATTTTTGGCAAATCTGAATGGGATTCCATGAGATTTCATAGGATCACCAGCCAACATGGGGAATAGACCAACCGCAATGGTAATATCATTGGGTTAATTAGTTATGTATAGTTATTTACATATTCACATTCATTCAGTATTGATGATTGGATAGTCTCTAATGGCTATGATGGCATCTATATGTTTGTTTGTCAAATTTGTGGTAAACGGATACCATCTTTTGTACATATCCAGGTTCAAAGTAGATGTGCAAATATTGAGATCTACTATGCGTGTTATATTTGAAAGGCCGGCAACACGTCTTTTGGATGATGTTTGTTGCCATTTGTTTTAACAAAATGCCATTGATTGGTCTTTACCCTCTAGTACTCAAACAAGGGGGAAATCCCCTGTAAAAGAAGGTTTTGATGGGAAACTTCCCCATAAATGCAGGTATGAATGGAGGATTTTCTGTTCCCCAGAAGACGGGGTAGAAACAGAGCATCCCCCAAGGACCTTCGACAAAGCATTCCCTGCGCACGGCTGTCCATCAAGCAACTGGGCGAAACTAAGGGATCTACGGACGATGCAAGAAAAGAAAAATCCACCAGTGAACTAAGCGAAAAAAAAATGTGGTTTCCTATACCTTAAAACTGGTTGTTCACATGCCCATATGCTCCATGTATGGAATATTTACTAACATTTGCCCTAAAAATCACCCAAATGTACGTAAAATTACCATACATGGAGCATCTGGGATAAGTAATGTCCTATATACAACTAGTTGTTCATACTATGTTCGTGGCTTACGGATCCTCTGATCCCAACTAAGATAAGATCTTGTAGCTGGCCCTACTTGGATACAAATCCAGGCATCCTTTAACCCCATGTGATTTAGTAAGTCACGGGGTACTGTCCATTTACAGGTCCAACCCACTTGTTGGATTCCTGCATTGAATCACTGTCCCTGTGACTCCAGCGAAATCCCATGCCTAGCCATTGGTAATCACAACTGGATTTATGGTTGGGAAGAATGTGATAAAAATCTTTTGGGAAAACAATACCGTACCCATATGCTCCATCTATGGAATATTTACCACCATTTCCCCTAAAAATCACCCAGTTTTGTAGGTAAATATACCATGCACCATGGTTCGCATATGGGTATGCATAGAAACAAATGGTCTCACAATCAGCTTGTGTCTAGGTATTTCCCAAAATGGAGGTTCCCGAAATTGTGGATACCCCCAGTTATCCATTTTTGGGCCTGGGATTTCAGCGGGGTGCCCCCATGTTAGGAAACCTTCAGATACAGACTTGAGATTTGAATCCAAGGTCACGTTTATGGTGATTTCATGGTGATTTAATGAAAATCAATGGGATTTAACGGCATTTTGCTAGCTAAGTTGGTTTACAACTCCACTAAGTGTTAGGTTTGTGGTAAGTTTATGGTAGATATATTTGGGTAAATTATAAATGCGACCTCACTGGAATGATGCCATAATTTGCAGTCGGCTTACATTGCCAGTGCCACCTGGTTCGGCCTGGTTCTTCCTCACGCAACTCGTCAGCTTGCCGACATCAGAAGCCTATTGGATCCTTCCAACACTGATTGGTGGTTTGGAACATGAATTTTATTTTTCCACTATTGGGAATGTCATGATCCCAACTGACGAACTCATATTTTTAGAGGGGGCTGAAACCACCAACCAGATTGGATGAGATCACTTGGCGATGACCAGCCGTGGCCGTGGACCTCCCAAGACGCCGTGCACAGCCTCAAGGAGCGCTGTTTTTCCGAAGCCTTCTCTGGCGAAAAATCAAAGGACAACGAGGCCAGCCAATTATACATCGGCCTGTAGTTGGTGCTTTGCCTGCCGCATCATCATCTGAGCCTGCATCATCTTCTGCTATGCCTGCATCATCAACATCGGGCCGGCCCGCTGAACTGCTACTATTTGGAGACCAACGCAGACTATACTCACGAGGGCCCATTGGTCAGAGTGGAATGCAAACGCAGACCCAAATATCGTCTCTTCTGCCGCTCCTGTCTGGAATGGCAACGATCTACTGGCATGCAGTTTCAAGTGCTTCCTGATGGCTGACTAAAACCAGAGAAGGCTTCGGAAAAACAGCGCTTCTAAGACGAGCATCGATAGAAAGCAGTGCTTGGCCGACCGCATACTGAATACAATGCTGTTCCCGGTGGCTGATTTATGGGGGCTGTCCCTGTGGCCGGTTTGGGGGGGGCCTTGCGGCATGTTAGCGCGTTTTGTGCAACCCAGCGAGACGAAGCGGATGGCAGTGCTTGGTCAACGCGCCGCCAGCGGCGCCGCAAGCAGAGGTCCCTATACGAGTCGCTGATAGCTTCACTACCTGAGACAACGGGATATTTCACGTTTCAACGTTGAGGATCGTGCCAGATGTGGCTCCAATGTGGCCAGGAGGCCAGTTCTCTGTCTCTGTAGTAACCCACCCAAACAAGAAACTAATTATCGATATGTTGGTTTGTCTTCACTATATTCTTATTTTATAGACTGTTAAATAATCGGACAGTTGGTTTGCATATTGCTCATAACATGTACATATGCGTTCTTCATGGACATTCTCAGAGTTTTGTGAATGCTGGTATGAACCTAAGTTATGTACACCATGTAACTGGAGAACTTTCACAATCAGACCCTCTGTTTTTATGTAGTGAAGTTGAACCGCCACAGGTTTGGTTTGTTTTATTGTGAAGTGCTCCCCAGTTCTGATGTTGATTTGCAAACCTATCTATAGATATATCCATTATAAACTTTAGCTCACCCAGGTAAACACGAGTTTAGCAAACTAAATCCCGGAAAAGTCCCCACAAAACATGAACTCACCCTAACTTTGCAGCTCAAACACCTAAGTTAGCTACAAAGTGGGGGGGCCTATTTGCAAGTTCGTTTACAAAGCCTGATAACAATAGTCCTAAGCATCATGAACCATAGGTATTGGACTTATATACCAACTTTAGCTATCTTGGGGGCGCCACATTGTATAACCACCCATAAATACCTGTCAAATACCAGCCCCTATTAAAAGATCCTTATTAATTCCTGGTAAAATTCGGCACCACCTGGTTTCCTGAAATAGGGGTGCCCCGGGTTCTCATCCATTTTAGATGCGGAATTTCCATAACAAAAACCATCCAATGCTCTCTTGGGATACCCCCCCATGATGGAAACCCCCGCCTTGTATGACTTGGCGAACCGGGATTCCCCCAGGAAGAAGCCTTCATGGATGGTGGGCAGCCTGAGATGGTGCGGCTAGCGATGAACGGAGGAGGATGGGGCCCAGTGATGTTAGTTGGCTAAAGCCCATTCACATCCATGAATTCTATAGTTATATCCACCATAAACCATAGAATTCAGCCATTTATAAAGCCACTGAACGCTATCTTGGGGGCCCCATCCTGTACTATAGTATTGGGTTGTGTTATGGCAACATAACTGATGTTATTGGGCTGTATTAGGCTTGAAGAATAAAACTAGATATTCGCCATCAGGTTTGAAAAATCATAGAATGGAATCATAAAAACTATTTCGAGTATTCCATTTGAGTTCTATAATTCATAGAGATTTTAGAACGGAATAATATGGGTGTACGCACAGCCACGGTTGTATCTATTTTACCAGGAAAATTACCGACCCGAAAAAAAAAAAAAAAACATTATATATCCCATCATGATCCCATGAAAATATCATTAACATATATAACCCCCTTCAATCACTATGATGTTGTTTTTTTCAATTTGAAATCACATTGACATACTGTCAATTAAAATTTATAGATTTAATATGTAAACTATAGTGAAAAATTGCTTATACATGCAATCATGGTGTTTAGTTAACTATTATATTAGCTGCTGGATAACTATAGATAACTATGGTTTATAAGAAAAATATCACCATTAACTATCATATGTCAGTTGTTCAATATATGTGCTTCTTCCAATCACAACTATTATGGTTTATATCATTCACTATGAGTTAGACCATAGTTCTTGCAGCTTTCTCCCTGCTCCCAAGGCCACACAGGGTTCCGAGGGTTTACTGGGCGTAGCAGTCAGTGACATGGTGGTGGAGCACCTTGGTTGCTGTAATTTGCCTTGGAAAAGTGACTGAATTCTATGGTTTATGGTAGATATTAAACTATACTTACAGTAATCGGGTTTATAAACCAAATTATAACTGTGGGGCACCATCCTGAAGGGGATTCCACTATACAGAAAAGTGACTGAATTCTATGGTTTATGGTGCATATAACTATATAACGAACGGGGTTTAACCAAGTTATAATTGGGGCGGCACTGTACTTAGATGGGCCATGGAGTTCGTCCACTAGTTGATACATGGGTCAAATAAAAAACTATAGGGGGCTACAACCCAGCAACTGGTCAAGTAGCTAATCGAATGGTTCATCGATCAGTAGGAATCAATGGTTGTGAAAGGGAACGAATGGGATATAATATGGTAAACAAAGGATTTAATATGATTGTCCTCTGATTACCTTGGTTGATTGGTGAATTTGTTGGGACTTTTACTATACTACTTAATCTATTGGGGATTATGATAATCCATAGTAGGGAAACCTATCAACCAACTAGTATAATCAGATGGGATCGGGTTATTCATCATGGTTTAGTTAGCTATTTTACCAGCAAAAACATCGTGATTCGATGGAATTTCATGGCTATTCAATGGTGATTTAATGGACCATGAAGTGAGGAGTTGTGTGGTAAACATGGTGATTTCCTAACCAAAATTGACATTTATCAGTAACTAAGTAGCTCTATAATTGGTTATACAATGACGAACATGAGGGGCGTAGGGTCACTTTTTTAAACTACAGTAAAGCAATGGCCCCTTTATCTACTCAGGAGTGCCTTTTATGGCGTGCCTTTTATGAGAAAAACCATGGTATGATCTGGGACAACATAGCCATAGAAGATGGCCCATAGAAAATGATAAAAGTAATAAAAGTGATGATTTACCGTTCCTAAAAATTATGAGTTTCCATAGCTAGGCTTAAGAAGCAGAGGGTAGTTGTGAATAGTTTGGGCTCATGTGTGCTGAAATCAGCTCAATGGGTGGGGGGGCCCAACAGCCACAGTTTTATATCAACTTCTATAACCGGAACTGCACCCATAAGAACACCACTTCTTTGCATGTTGTCGGTGTTTTTTTTGCTGGTTGCTTTAATGGTGGTGACTGGTGGTTGTTTTGGTGGTTTGACAAGCCTCCAACAGGTTGTTGATTTGATCAGGAAAATGTATGGAACTAGTGATGCCCACCGGAATGGGGTCCACTATAGCCCCATGACATACCCAGAAGTATACCAGCATTAATTTGTTGCCACATATTATGCCACAAGAAAACTCACCAAAACCTATCACCAAGGTCTATCCAGTGGCCTATTTTCAGGGTAGCCAGGAGACTGGGATGTGTTTTTATGCCCTGAAAACAAAAGGACGGGGCGTGGATCAAAATTCGGTATCCTTCAAGTTGGGTGGTTACTAGTTAGTACTAAACATGAACAGAATCGGCCAGTCCATTGGACCGTGGTTAGGTAGGTTCAAACCCGAAATACCAATTATAAGTCAGTAAGTCACCCCATAAAAATGGAACAATAACATACAATAACCCCATTTGGAACCCTAAAGAATTACTGATTTCTAGCGTCTTAAGTGCATTCGTCGATCAGCCCCAGCCACATTTTTTCGTCGATCACCCGAGGCTGAACGACGTCCCGGCGGGTCCTGGCATGGAAGAAGATCCGCTGAGCGAGGCGGCTTGTTTTGTTGCCAAGGTCGGGGGCTCCAATCGATAGCTAAGTTGGTTTAGTTGGTTTAGTTTGCTCTGTGAACTCTGGTTTATGCTAGATATATCGAGCTAATTAGTGTTTTTGGTGGCAGTTACAGCATACTTAATATCTTATAACCCGTTTTTAATGATACTTCTTGATTTACTTACAGGAATTATCCCATTAAAAAACATGGCTTTAGGTCATACTTTCAAGACGCCCCGAAAAAAATAACTGGTGGCACAACCTTTTCTGTGTCGATTTTGTGCGTCCCAGTTGTGCGGGTGAAACTGGTGCTTCACCCCTTAAAAAATTGTGGATATAATCACTAATTCTTTCTCTTTCTCTTCTTTTCTAATTCCTTTCCTTTCTTTCTAATATTCCTTTCTCCTTCTTCTTCTCTATTCCTAATTCTAGTGATTTAGTGATTATCAGCCGCATGCAATTTGTTTTGCCTGTTGAGATACATCTTTAAGCTTTTGAATTCCACATGTTTGTTGCTTAATCCCTTGTTTGGTGTGCAAAATTACCTTTTTGGCTACAACCATCTACAACCCTTTATTTGTTTAGATTTGTGTTTTTACGGCCAAGGTTTGTTTGAGGATCCATTTTATGCTGGTAAAATTTCAGGTCTTGCTGAGATGTGCAGTCAGACTTGTAAAAAGGGATCCAGATTGCCGGTAATTGTGCAAAATTGTTTTGAGACAACAAAATTAGATAGTTATAGGGGTTGTGCTGCAGCCTCCCCTTGAATCTTAGTCAGCTTTAGCTTTGGAAATTGCAGATCTGCGCTTTGGCACGCGCAACACACAGAATGACAATTGAAGATCGACGCTGTAGATATTTGATCCGTAGGTTTGAATGCTGAAACATGCTGCATTCTCAAAAGAAGTGGAAAGACCATGTGTTTTGCGCACTCCCGGTGCGATGTCGACGACCAACGGAAAAGTACGGTGTTTTTGGAGATACACAACTGATACCAGTAGTACCGCATAAGGCGGTGGCGGAAGTTTCAAAAATAGGAAACCTATAGGAGAGGTTGGTTGTTGTGAATCAAGGATGGCAGAGCGAATCCACTGATGGACCGAAAGGTGCTTGAGGTCTCCCACTCTTGCTCTCTCTTTCTCTGACTATCTACCTACCTACCTATCTATCTTCTATGTATCTATCTATCTATCCATCTATCTATCTATCTATCTATCTATCTATCTCTCTCTCTCTCTTTCAAATTTCCTATCTATCTATCTATCTATCTCTCTCTCTCTCTCTTTCTTTCATCTGTCTATCTGTCTAGCTGTCTATCTGTCTATCTACCCATCTATCTATCTATCTGTCTATCTGTCTACCTGTCTATCTGCGGTGCAGTGTCATTCAGTGTAATGTAGTGTAGTGTAATGTAGTGTAGTGGGTGTAGTGGAATGTAGAGTACTATAATTTCGTGTAGTGGACTGTAGTGGAGTGTAGTTGTGTAGTCGTAGTTGTAGTTGTAGCGTACTGGAGTGTAGTTGTGTAGTCGTAGTTGTAGTTGTAGCGTACTGGAGTGTAGTGTAGTGTAATGTAGTGAAGTGTAGTGGAAGGTAGTGTAGTGTAATGTAGTGTAGTGTAGTGGAATGTAGTGTAGTGTAATGTAGTGTAGTGTAGTGCAGTGTAATTTAGTGTAGTGGAGTGTAGTGGTGTGTATTGTAATGGAGTGTAGTTGTGTAGTTGTAGTTGTAGTGTAGTGGAGTGTAGTGTAATGTAGTGAAGTGTAGTGGAAGGTAGTGCAGTGTAGTGTAATGTAGTGTAGTGGA